CTCGTTTTGTGCACCGACGAAATTGGACCCGTTGTCGGAGAACACATTCGGTGGGTTGCCCCGCTATCCATAAATCACTGCCAGGCCATAAAAAAGGAGTCGGTCGACATGCTGTGCACGGTTTCTGTATGCAAATCTCGTGACTGTAGGCAGGTCACCAGGCAACCGTATCGTTTTCCCTCGACGTCTTTCGTCTCACCCAAAGCCGTTCGAAGTATCCTACTCCAGTTTCGGCGAAGGGCTACCAACCTGGTCTTACTCGGGAACTTGGTAACCAAGCTATCAGTTGTTTGCTGAATGTAGCATTCTGGCGAGGACAAAAGTGCAGTGACCCACGACTTGCTTCACCGTAGCTCTCCCCTTCACTATCCAAAACTGCCGGCGAACCGTATTGAGTAGGTGGTTTGCTCCTGCTTGACCTTCTGGCCTGTGAATATGTAGGATGAGTTTGTTCGTGACGCGATGATTTTTGGGCAGAATGATGGGGTCTTTAGCATCAAAATCCAACTCCGGGTTTTTTAATCAACCATCTACTCTCAGCAAACCATCTACTGATATTGGATAGAGTATTCGGAGAGAGTCGCTACATAACGCACGTCTGTAGGAGTCACAATTCCTCTTTCTCAACCTCTGAATATCCGACGGGATGTCTTGCAATTGAACCATACGAACCACATCAGTTTCTGCTGTCTTCAATTCGGTTGGAATGATGGGTCCAGTGTTCAAGGTGTCGTTAGGTCGGGGTCCTTTCGTTATAGCGGTTTGTCGTCTGAACCTTGTCCATCAGACAACCACCCTCAGCACCTTCGTCCATCGTGAAGAACGATTCAGTTTCTGCAGTAAGATGTTGGTTGAAGCAGCATAACGGTCTTCTTGGTTTCCAGCAACTCTGTTGCTACAGGATGAATCTGAGTGTCGGGCATTTCTATGGGCTTATCCGTCAAAGAGGATGGTCCATGTAACCATGTTCTAATATTTTTCAAGTTCAGCACACCCCTGGAGCAATAGTCAGCTGGATTGTCATAAGATTGCCGTCATTGACACACCTCCGTTTCTTCGTGAGTGACGGCTAGCCGGTTGGCAATAGATGTGCTGATGCGCGTCCGTACATTGTTAACATAGTGAAGAACTATGGTGGAATCAGTCCAGTAAGTTACGGTCCATTCCATCGGGTGAAAACATCTTATGAGCATCTTCGCTACCCTCACAGCTAATACAGCTGCGGCTAGCCCTATCCTGGGTATTGAGACTGCCTTTAGGGGAGCAACACTGGCCTTTGCTAATAGAATACTGCTAAGCCTCCTTCCACCTGACCGGGACGAGCAGCTGTAGGCCACTACCTCGTATCCAACCTCCGACGCGTCCGCAAAAACGTGTAACTCACTGTGCTCTCCTTTGGGCATTCGTGATATGGGACGACGGAATCGTATATCGCCCAGCTTGTACATGCTCAAACATCAGCTTTGCCAGGTCTTGTGATCCGCTTCGCATAGGGTCTCATCCCAAGTGACCTGTTTTCTACACAGGTCCTGCAGCAGAATCTTCCCCGGTAATAGCCACGATGCGATGAACTCCATTGTATCGTAAAGGCTGGCCAACGAATACAGAATTCCTCTACGAGTCGGGAAGCTGGAGTTGAAACAGAAACTCATCGTTCTCCGAGTCCCACTGAGCACCAAGTGTCCTGTCTGTTGGTAACGGGCTTCCCTGTGTGTCATGGAGACACGGTGACCGTTTCTCAACCGGGATGCAATCGATTGCTTGACGACTGTTAGACATCCATGTGGTTAACTTGAACCCTCCGATGAGCAGTAGCGTAGATAAATTGCTAATGTGTTGAACTGCTTCCTTGATGCTATCAAGGGATCCCAAGAAGTCGTCCAAATAAATTTATGTTTGACACAGGAATCAACCGGGGTTTGGAAGTACTGAGAAAATGGATTCACGGTCATTTTTAGAGCGAAGTTTGCACAGAAGGAAAAGGATATCCCGTCAAACAGGTGCACCGTCGTCCGATATTATTGGGCAGGTCCATCTAGGTTTCACTCCGGTCAACAAAAATACCGTGGAGCATCCCTTTGCCCTTCGGGCACTGTGACCTGTATGAACATCTCGTCAATATCAGCTGCTGCCGCAGCTGACCCCAAACGAAATCGGCCCAGCACCTCAATCAGCGGAGTCGTCAGAACTGGGCCTTGTATTAGACGATGGTTTAGAGCAATCTCGGCGCGCTCGGCAACACAATCGAAAACAACCATAGTATTCAAAGGTTTCTTAGGGTTTATAACTGGTTGGTGCGGAAGGTACCATAATATTCGCTCTTTCTCGGCTTCTCGCGCTGCGGGTTCGATATAGCCCAACTCCAGATTTCGTTTCATGGCGTTACAATAAGCTTCCTTCAAATGCGCGCTCTTTTTCAATCGTCCCTTCAGATAGTTCAGCCTATGAAGGGCTATCTCTTGACTAGCGCGCAGTCGATTAGATCCCGATTGCCAGGGTAACGACACTTCAAACTGGGTTCCGCTGCGTCGCATCATTTCGATGACGTTGGCCCGGGCTGTTCAGTCTTCCCTCGACATAGATAGCCGGTCACCTGCGATATCCCCGAACTCCTGGTTGTATAGCAGCTCCAGGTCATCCGCTATTGGATTGTCTGGCAGCGAGAGATTCTGATTAATTATCTGCCTGGAGAATTTTTCATGCCACGCAACATGGATTCCAGTGGAATACAGGACTACGTGCAACGTTTGTCTACGTTTATGCAATCCTTGTTTCCGGCACAAACTCGAATACAGTAACGGACGGTTTTCATACCCACTGAACTTCTAACTTGTTCGCACGTTATTCATTCGAATTGATGCGGTACGTAAACCGTTACAACAGCCTCACGAAGGACCTTTTCATAACCGTTACAACAGCCTTACGAAGGACCTTTTCGAGTTATTTCGCGTCACGAAAAGTTCTTCAAGGTTGATCAATATGGTCACGTCGATACGATTAATATCGAACGGCTCAAGGCAGCATATGTCGACGATGGCATAGTGCACGCCAGTTCGTGACTCGATGTTGTGCTTACACGCCCGATGATTGAGGCACCTATCTCAGAGTTCAGCTCGCAGATCTCAGCACCTGCTATGATTTCGAATGAGGCAACTGTCTTACGTTTAAATCAGCAGTGTACGAGCACCTTATCGACCAGGGCGAGACATCAGTCTCACGTTCAGGTCTAAGNCCCTTCTGCGGGATTGAGCAAAACACGATCCACACAAGCGTATAACGTGAGCAATACCTATTACGACTTATATCACGAGATGCCTTATCTCGATGTTTGGTTTGTGTGCTCAATGATTGTTTATGATTGATGCAGCAATTTTGAACGTTAGGATGCTACACCGGTTTCCTCCGGCAATTTTTCACTTCCAGATATCAGGTCATACGAAACGCACATTGGTTACCTCGAGGTTCAACGAGAATTTTGGCATTCTCTCGCACGATCGTTTCCCCTTTGGATCTCAAGAGTTTGTTGGAACGATTTACGTTTCTACGGTCGCATACATGAACAACAATTGGTCTACCTCGTTTATTCTGGCACGCCAACGATCACGGACGCGTTCCGTATCCAGCAATCGTGTTAACGAAGAGAACAATTCTGATTTGAATTGTGCTCCTCTGTCAGTCGTGACATTAGAGGCACAACCGTAGAGTGCTATCCATCGTTCTACGAAATGTCGAGCAACTGCTTCGGCCGTGACAGTAGAGATGGGAATAGCCTCCGGCCATCTAGTTAACCTGTCAATACACGTGAGTGAATGAGTATACCCGTGTGACGGTGGTCATGGGACTACAACATCAATGTGAAAGTGATCAAAGCGAGCGTCAGGCGTAGCAAACGTACCGATAGGTGCAACTACGTGCCTGTGCACTTTGGATCGTTGACATTGTAAACACTGTTTAGCCTATATTCGAAAGTCCTTATTCATGGATGGCCAGACGTATCGTGCAGCAATCAGTCGAAGTGTTGCTGCAATGCCTGGGTGTGATAAACCATGTAAGGTGTCGAAAACTAAACGACTGGAGACGTTGAATGGGCCGCCTCTTCGCAAGATGAATCATTTGCCTGGGAGTCAGCCATAGCACTGATATCTAAAGGGGACTTTGTGACATGCCTAAAATGCTTAATGGCGTTGTAAGCTGCCAGCAGCTCGCGTCCAAAAGCACTATATTTGGTTTCTGTGGGTGTAAGGCGTCCAGAGTAAAACTCAAGAGCTTCCCAAAACCCAGAAATCTTTTGTTGCAAGACCGCTCCAAGTGCAAAGTCTGAAGCATCAACCGCTATGCTAAGCGTGGCTGACGGTACAGGATGCAAAAGCAACGTGGTCTGCGCTAAATGTCTTTACCTTTTGGAATGCTACTCGTGCGGCGTCCGTAAGCATGAGCTTACGTGGATTACCACGAGGTAGGTCCGTAAGAGGTTGCAATCGTTCAGTGGTGTGTGGAATGAATCGTCTATATAAATTCAATAAACCCAACTCTCTGCTACTACCCTCATGTGTGACCTTGTGACCAGGGAAAATCAGCTCCTTTTTGCCAAGCTCACATTTATCGGGGTTAACCACAATGCTATTATCAGACATACTTTGAAATAGCAAGGTGAAATGGTGATAATGTTCATCTA